GATCTGCACTTAGAGGCTGATCCAACATAAATTCTTCCCATAATTCTTTCAAGGTGCCATAATGTTCAGCCAAGGATTTATTTCCTTGCTTGGTATTAAATAGACGCTCAAAGAGTTCATAGATTCTGGATACGTTATGTTCTTGGAAGTGCATCTCCTCAAGGGAGTCCCATATCTTCTTAGTGGTATCAAGAAGTTAAACATTAGAGGCCACATATGATTCCATTCTAAGCCACAACCAGGTCATCACAAAGAAATTTTTACTCCACTAGTCTTCAGAACCGTTGGATCCTTACTCAAGAGGATTGTCAGTCAAATATTTGACTTTTCTCTTAGTCCATATGAAAACCTTAATGGCATGTGCCAAAGAATAATAATTGTGTCAATTTAATTTTACAGAATTGATCTGTCTAACCTGATCATCCATAGAGTGAATTTGTCGAGCTTGATTATCAACAAAAGTACCTTTGACGTCATCCGAAATTGCCATAGTTAAAAAAATATTAAATAACTAGGTGATAATAATCAAACCAATAGTCCGTACCAACACAATCACACAACCAAACAAAGGGTCAGGAATTTTGCCAAAATCACACACTTCATGCCACTAAAACCAAAAAACACACAACCAAATCTCCAAACAAAAAATATAGAGACCACAAAACGCAAAAAAAAAAAAAAAAAAAAAATTGGGGCAATTAGAACACTTTGCAGTGCCTGAATAGTGTGCAATGCCTTTGTTCGCGGGATTCAAATAGACCCAACACCAAGAAATATGAAGACTTGAAAGAAAACACACCTAGACTGAGCCACACATTACAAATGAAGAAGTCCCCAACCAGGAGCGCCGAAATGTTGAGAAATATTGGCATTGTGCAATGTCTACTTCTACCCAACCACCAAAAACATCAATGGACCACTCATAAATGCATGGGTTTGCCATAGGAGTCTCCTAGGGTGTTAGTCAGACTTGTTTGTGATAGAAGAAAGCGTCGAAAAAAGCTGGGTTGCCTCTAGAGTCCAAATTGCAAAAAATAGTCAAATTTTTTGAATAATATTTTGAAAATGATAAGTTGATCTAGATGGCCTCATCAAATTCTAGAAAAATTACCATAAATTCGGGAGCATTGAGTCGATGATGAAGGTGGGTTTCAGTCGCCGAAAAATGCTGACATCATGCTGATGTCAACATGATGTCACTTTTTCGGCAGTTTCTCCAATGCCAGAACAGTCGTGAGTAAATCTTTGTTTGGTTCAATCTAATTTTTGTAATTAAGAAATAATTGCTCTGATACCAAGTTGGAAATAATAAATTAATATTAGGGTTAGAGAAATACAAAGAAAAGAGAAGAAGAGGTAGAGAATAAAGAATCAGTTATGTATGAGCTATGTTACCCTACACATCTTATTATAACTAAGCAATATTTTTGGATAATTATAATATTGCCCTACACTAATAGACTTATGACTTAATGCATAAAATAAGAACTCTAACATGTGAGTTCCTCAATATGCCATCGGGCAAGTTGAATACAGAGATAAAAGGTAAGAGGATTTATAGACCGTAAGCAAAAAATTCCTTTATTTTACCTGGAGTATTCATTGGATCATGTATGTCTTATAATTACTTTTGCCAAGTGAATGTGTTGGGGAATGAAATTAGGGTAGTTCCGCCCGCCCATCTCTCTTCCGTAGTTGAGTTCTTTCACTTGGCCTCAAGCATTAGGCTGATGGCATATTACCAAAATATCATGGCCTGATCTGGATAATTCTCAATTTCATGCTAAGCTCCTGCGTTTTCCTTTAATGAAGAGTGCAGGGACACAACAAAACCACTGAAAGGGATTTTGACAGGTTTGCCACTGAATATAGATATGAGATGGAACTCCTATGGCCAAATGTAAGGTTCGATTTGGAAGTTAAGGTCTAATGAAGTATCTCTTAGTCTTTCAATGGCCCCAAAGTGAGAACTTATGCTTACTGTTCAACCGACTAGCAACTACAGTTTCTTATGGAATAATGACTTCTAATTTTGAACTGAGGCAAAAAATCAACATTTTCAATTACTGTATCTGTGGTATGTTGACAAAATTTTGGGAAAGTTTCTCATTTTGGGATTTTATTTCCCTGACTAATCGCCTTTCAATTTTTTAACAACCCTCTAAGTGGTAACTTTAAGCAAGATGTCTCCTGAACTATTTTGGTGAAAGAGCAATGCAGACCCTATATTAGACTGAATTTGTTTCTTGTAATTAGTTAAAATATTTCCGATGTCTTGCAGGATTAGATGGTTGTGAATTTTGAAGGTTTTCTTAATAATGTTTAGCTGTTTTATGATGAGCTGCCATGTACTTGGAACTTGAGAGTTGAGATCGAGGCTTGTAACCAAATTTTTTTTCTTAATCATTGTGTTACTTTCTCCAGGTCATGGACGAAGTGTTGCAGTGATGTGCGCACTGTTAGTGGCTTTAGGTGTGGCAGAAGATTGGAAAAGTGCTGAAAAGTTAATCCGAGAGAGAAGACCTTATATTCAAATGAATGCTCTCCACCGTAATGCTTTAGATGAATGGTCAAAACACCGGTTATCCTGCTCCTAAAAGGAATGAATAAATTCATGTAAGTTCTGCAGTTTGTCCAATTCTTCTGGACACTCGCGATCAGATAGATCGTGAACAGAGCTGATTGATCGTCTTCAATAGTTGTTACATTTGAGTGTGAATTATGACCCTAAACATGTTACTGGCGAAAACCGTATCATTGACATTACTTTTTTGTTCCTCTGATAAGATGCTTATATGCTAAAAAGTCCTGACTGGCTTTGTTGCTAAAATGTACTGGCTACTAGACTTCAAGAATAAATGTACTAGGATTGTCCACCAAATCATTCATATGTATGGACCATCGGAATGAGTTTTCTTTCTATTGTGTGTTTAAAAATTTATTTTTACCCAAACACCTTAGTTTGAAACTTATTTATCAAACTAATTTATCACACCGTTGTTTTTATGAAAGCGTGGTTCAAACCCACGATTTTTAATGTAAAACCTTGCAGAACAAGCTGTGGTGTAGAAAAAAAAAACGTCGAAAAATTGAAGTAGATAGGAAAAAATCTCTGGTTTATGGAGTTGTTACATTGATATATTCTGGTGCAGGCAAGAACAACTTGGAGAAGCAGCCTTTAAGTGGGTGTAATTTAAGAATTTTCTTTTTCAACTGTTAGCGAACCAAAAATTGTGTTTGAGTAGGTTGATCCTAAGCCATAAGCAGATAGCTGTCTCTGATTTACCGGCTGAATGGTTATGTTTTTGCCTGCCCTTCATTTCTTCTTTATTTTTCTCACTTGTAGGACATTGTTTGGAGCTCAGTTTGAAATGACCTTTAAAAAGACGAACACAATGTAGCATGAACTTGACTATGAATGTCTGGGACACATTTTTTGAAAACTCACCCTTTTTCTTTTCCGTATTACCTTGCATCATTTCTTTTTCTTTTTTTATTTGAAAAAACCTCAAGTTTGATATTACCAAAGTATGTGGTTTGAGAGAGTAAGATTGAGTGGTTTGTACAAGGGGGGTTTAAGGCTTCAGGTTTGGATTATTTTTTTATCGTTGTATTGATCAAATTGATGCGAGGTTTATTTATTCTTTCAGATGCAACAAAGAGAATGCTAACTACAAAATCTATTGCATTTTCCCTAGGCACCCTTAGATTGTTAATACAATCTGCCATACTTTTATCTGGCTTCATAGCTTTCTCAGCTGTAGCTTTGTGTTCATCTTTCTCCTTCGTGCTTTCCTCTATGTATTTCAATGTTATCAATAGTTTCTGTGTAGAATATCCTTAACATCTACTTGTTACAAACGAGCTACTGAGATTGAAGCTGCATGCATAAAATGAAAGTAAGCTTGTTTGTAAGTTGTATTTTAAGCATTATTCTTATTTAGAATGACAACTTCCGTAGCTTCCAAACTAGTCTTCTTCATGCAATGGATGCTTTAATGGGACATCTTTGTATGCACTTTAATCAAAGTTCAAGTAATGGCCTTGTGATCTTAGATCACCTTTTCCAGCTCTAACCTTAATTTAGACGTTTTCATCCTTTCTTAAAGAATAGATCATATGAAAACAGTTGAGAATGAAATTTGGGAAGGATTTTTTTGAATAGTCCTTTCACTGATTTGGGATAGCTTTAGGATATTTCAAATGAATCTAAACATTATGTCCAACAAAAAATGCCATCTGTTGGGGATTCATTGAGAAGCCGAAAGATTGGTCATTTGATGAAAATTTCGACTCTTAATGGAAAATTTATATTGAATAGTCAAATAAAATCACTCTTCTTGTTTTGAATATCAATTTATAATTTTTGGGTTGTTTGAGATTGATCTTAAATACTCAAAATGTTAGAATTTATCCAAAAACTGTGTAACTTGATCCCAAAAGATATATTTATTCGTATCACGCCTAAGCCGTGTGTATCATTGTGTATAGTCGAAGTTTGTTTTGCACTAAATTTGTGTAATATGTTAACTCGTTAGGCTAAATATATTCGTATTGAGTAAATGGGTTATGTCAAAAAAATTACCACCGACTCATGTTTGCCCTGTCTCACACCATAGAAGTTCACATGATTTGTCTAGCACTACTTGCATCTTTTTCTAGAGCAATGTTATTGGGACCTAAAAAACTAACCTAATTTGCTAACATAATGATATGCTAGAGACATGTTCAATAGGATTATTGTGATTGTAAGTCTTAGACATGACTGGAAAGGGGTTACTTTCTTTTTTGGTGCATGGAAAACTATAGCGTTAATTACACGTCTCCCAACACTATGGCCTTTAACTTATTTTGCCCTCTAAACTATTGAATTTCTCATATTTAGAACTTCTTAAACCGATGAAAAAATAAGGAAGTCATATGCATGCAGCTCAAGGCGACCTATGGTTGGGGCACGACACTGTGTTATGAAATAGATTTAACCAAATAACAAAAATCCCTCATAAATAAAGCACTACTAATTTGATTGTCAGTTTCTCTGCAATCATAAAGTTAATTGACCAAAGCTTAAACAGAAAAAAAAGAAATTTTATTTCATATTTACAAAAAGCAGACAGGAGTTGTTCTAGTTGCAGATAACGTGGATGTGACAACCATGTACATAAGAAACCTGAAAAAATTAAAAGAAAACATTATTTTAGAGAACCGACTACTACAACAAATTCAGAAGACACAAAAATTTACAAACCCAAAGATCACCGGCCATCGCTAGACCTTGATATTTTTTCCTTTGCCAATGAGATCTACATAAGCTAACTCTTTGTCATAGCCATGTATAAGTGGTTCTTGCAAGTTTGTATTCAGTTACTACAAACATGTCACGATCTACCCATCTTAGCAGCCTCGGTGCTGCTTGTTGTCATGAAAGATTCTCCACAGCCACACTGCCCTTTAGAGTTAGGATTGATAAATATAAACTCAGATCTGCTCAGGAATCCAAAGAAAGAAAGGTCAGAGGTGGTGAAAGAAGCATAACCAGAATAAAATCAGAAAAATTGAAAAAAAAAAAAAAACAAAATCATAATGGTACAGAGGCCAAAAAAAAACCTTGCAATCAAGGCATCAAGCCCTACAAACTTGTCATTTACAGTTCATTAAATTCTCATACGTTACTGAAAACAGAACCTAATTTTCAATTCCAAATAGCAAATTTCAAGCTGAACATCAGCTGCTTATAAAGTATAATTAACACAAGAAGTTTAAAGGAATAGGGGAAGTTGAAAATTCAGTCATAACATAACAGGGGATATAACTGATAAATTACATTGGTATGTATCATACTTCAGAAATGTTCAAATTGAACATGGTGATCTGCTGGATTTAGAATAAGTGTCTTATAAACTGGTGTTTTCAGCTGTTTCACTTCGGTGTGATGACATAATATCTAGAACATCCAGATTAATGGGCCCCCCAGAATAGGTTCCTCTAACAAAGCATGAAACACTTGCACATGTACATATGCACACAGCTATCATCCGTTTAAACATATATAAATCAAACTCTTCTGAAAATAGTGCATAATTGGAACAGCCTTTGCGGACCTGAGTTTGTCATCAACAAAATCCATCTTGGTTCCCACCACATGCATGAGGGCCTTAGGATCAACCAATATCTTCACACCCTTGTCCTCAACCAACTCATCAAACTTGCCTTTCTCATCTGACAATTCAAGACAGCAGCAAGTTAGGAAACCAACAAGTTATAAAATTTCAGTCTCTGCACTTAAGTAGTTAAGCAATAAATAATCAACAAAACAAAAATGTCAATATGATGACCAGTCAATCCAAAAATTTCTCTTTTCTTCTATTATGACAAGTTGACAACACTCAGCTAGCAATATTGCTATATGTAAATCTCGAATGTGATTGTATGAGCATCAACATATTTTACCTCCAAATAGTTACATAAATTCAATTCCCATGGGTTTCTTTCAATCCTTGATGCCTTTATCTTTGTCTTTTCACTTTAAAAACAACTGCCTCTTTAACACTCAGTGTTCTTGAGGCTCCTAGAGATCAAAGATGCAAAGGAGAGCTAAATATTTCTAAATTTTAATTCCAAAGTAGTGGAAAAAGTTGCCTATTATTACAAATAAATGTTACCCGAATTGAAGAACTCAAGAAAAAAGAGAAAGAAATATAGATTTCGTATTAAGTATCACACATGACTGAAAATTATTCTTTTTAATAAAGCAATAATGATATGTGTCCCCAAAATAAGCATAGTTCCTCATCATAGGTCCCAACTTTTTGATTTCCCTCCGGTTTAGGTTTCTCTCGGGAATGGAAAATTTCTCAAATTTGATTGCAAAAGAGCTGGAAAATGACAGGGTAAATAAATTAAAAGTCTCGATTTATAGATTCATACCAGCATAATTGAGGGTATAGGACAAACCGTTGCAGCCGCGAGCCTTCACGCCGAGTTTGAGGAAAGGGCGTTGCCGGCGTTGCAAGAGGTGGCGTATCCTAGCCGCCGCGGCGTCCGTTAACGTTAGGACTTGTTTCCGGACGGCAGGTCCCACCTTTTCGGCGGTTGATCTGAGCATCGAAGAAGCAGTCGCCATCTCTCTCTCTCTCCCAGAACTTGCTAGTCCCGGCACCACTTTGGTCGAGTGATACGCCACATTTTGCAAGGGAATAGCTAAAGAGTAATGCCTCAGCTGCCATGTCATTTAATTTTAAATTTGGGCTCAAAATTCAGTTAGTGTATAATTAAAACTTAAAAATTGCTGAAATTTATGCTAAATTTTATGATAAATATAAATATATAACTTAAAAAAAAAAAATTATTTTCTATTTTTTTTTTATGATAAATGTAAATCATGTTTTGTAATTATTTATATTTAAAAAAATAAAAAAAATATGTTTGATATTATATATTTTGGATAATATTTTATTGATATTATTTTGGTTAATATTTTAATCTCAAATACCTCAATTAGAGATGTTCTTTGTGATTCAAAAAAAAAAAAAATTAAAAATATTCGTCTTGACACATACATTCACAGACGAGATGCTTTGTTGGGACACACACAAAAGATACACACATAGATCTATATATACAACACAAATACACACAAAAAAAAACAAATAAACATACACACATGTAGATCTATGTATTTGTAGCATCATATCTGTATATCTATACCTATATATGCATATACATATCTATGTATATATATGGTATAAAGTTAAGGAACAAATGGAAAACTAGCAAGAGAGATAATGTAGGTTTTGTCTTTGTCTTCGTCTTCGATTCGTTTTTGTATTTGATTTTGTCTTCGGCATTTTCATCTTCGTCATTGGCTTTTAGAAGAGAGAGAGAGATACAAGGAAAATAGACGAAAAAAAAAAAGGAAAAAAGAGTTTTTATAGCAAATAGGATAAATCTCATTAATGAAGGAAAAAGGAGTCTTTTTTGTGCCATTTATAGCAAATAGGAAAAAGGAGTTTTTGTTGCTAATGTGATTCGAAAGTTGGACCTCATTAATTGCAAATAAAGATGCATGCATGTTTTTAGTTTTGGATGTTTTTAAAAAATATCATTTTTAGTGTTTATAGACTTGGACCTTATTTTCAAAACAATATGGCTTAAAAAATAAAAAAAAACACATCACAAACACATCAATTCTTTTTTTATTTTTTGCAAAAAAAAAAAAACACAAACACAAAGTTACCAAACGACACTTTAGTTGTTCAAAGGGTAAAATCATATTTCAACAGAAGATGTTCAGAATATGTAAAATACAATTTTACTACAGTGATGCTTTATATTTAGAGCATCACTATAATATCATGTATAAATAATTTACAATATATTCTCTCTCATCTTTTATTTTCCTACCTCTCTTGACTATTCATTGTTTTTTGCGCTATTTTCTCTCTTTCTCTCCAATAATTCTAATAAAAGGTATAAAATATGTATTTAAAAGAAGTAGTTAAAATATAGAAATCTATTGAAATGTATATTGAAAAAGTGAGCAACTAAAATAGAAAAAATATACTTTTGGGTAGCTAGAATACAAAATCTTGTTGGAGATGCTCTAAGCATTCTCAAATTTTTCATTTTTATAAAAATGCACAAAATTACAATACACAATTTTTTACGACCATGGAGTTATTAATATCGATTAGTGTCATGTATTTAAATTTATGTAGATCATGTTGGATCAAAATTTTATAAATTATAGATTAAATGATATAATGCTATTTTTATTAAATTTATAATAATATAATTATGATAATATTAAATTGAGTTTAATTATTTCTTGTTGAATTTTTTTACTTATAATATACTAACAGTCCGCCATGTGTGATGCACGAGATATATAACCTTTTTATCCTTTTTAACTATTATTATTCATGATTTCTCTCTTTTATCTCTACCACTTAAAAATAAGACAAATCATAAAAAACTATCTAAAGTCTGTTGTTGTAATTTTTTTTAAATAGATTGAAATTAAAGTTGGTTAATAGTGGAGAGTAGATGAGTAATTAAAAATGAAGGGTGAATTGCAATTTGTACCCTTAAAGTGTTGATGAAGTTTCTATTTGATCCCTAGAGTTTCAATTTGGACAATGTAGTCGTTAAAGTCTCAGTTGTAGTTCGATTTCGTACTTCCGTACAATTTCCTTTTAATCACCAAATAGAATAACATGAACTGGCAACTCACACCAAATATATGAGGGCATTTTGGACCAATTCCCTTGCTTACCATTCCAACCAATCAAAAAAAAAACACAAAAACCCTAGTCCCATTCGACACACCTTCATCCACTGCAAAACCAAAGACAGAGCTAGTTGTGATAAATTTTCAGTGATTGAAGCAGATCGATAGAGGGTGACCGAGCTAGAGATGTGACTATGGAAGCAAGGGCGGAGCTAGGATTTTTGTTTATCTCGGGCTAAACTAAACATTCATATGACTAACAAAATACAAACATAAACTCATAAACATATATTCAATTATACAAATGTAAATTCATAAACACTTACTAATGAAATTAGACTCTTCGATCCTTCCTAGAACAAAAGGCATATATTATTGAATCTGTATCGATTGCTTCTGTTATTTCTCTTTCAATGTAGACAACTAACGAATCAGTCAAATACTCATATTTCATCTTGTTACGAAGAGTACTTTTGACATGTTTCATGGCTGAAAATGCTCTTTCTGAAATTGTCGTAGAAACATGAAGTGTTAAAATAAGACAAATCAACTTATCAATCATATTGTAGGACTCTGCCTTATTTGTTTCTACTAAACCACGACATAATTCTGAAATTGTATACATACTTTGAAACCTCTCATGGCAAACCACATCAAATTTATAATGATCCAATTGACATTTCAAATGATGCATGTCTTGTCTATCAAAATCAGCTGCATAAAACTTTTTAGCAAGTAAACAAATGCGATCAGGATTAAAAGATTTAAAGTTGTCCGAGGATCTAAAGTAGAGCTGAGCATAAGCAATTCTATTATCTCTTCATTGAATTTACTATATAACTCTTCTAACTGATGATCAATCGTAGCATTAAATATGCTCATGTGATAGTAATGATCAACTGTAATGTTATCATTATGTTGACATGAACGTCTTGCCCCTTTATACTGAGTGTTCATATCAGGTATATCGACATCAAATTTCATGCAAACTGATTTCACATGGTCAATATGATAATCAAAACCTTTTGCTCGCAAGGTTTGAAGCAATAATTTTGTCGATGAGACTAAATTCATTGCATTCAAAATATCTAATGATTTATGTTGCAATGTCCGACAAAGCATATCCGTAATCCCCATAATCTTGTGCATAAGATGCAATATGAATATGAAATCGAAGGACTTCATTGCCATTAAAGAACCACCAACTTCCCCACGAATTGTATTTGAATATTCTTCGTTAACCATACATTCAAACACACTAATTATAACATCATACATATCCATTAGACCGCAAATGGATTCAAAATGTGAGCTTCAATGAGTAGTACCAGCTCGATGCAAAGTATCCATCTGATTAGCCCCTTTACCAGTCTCTCGTTCACCACTAGTTATCCCTCTTTCAATCTCAATAGCTTGGGCAGATCACAATTCTATATGACGGTTTGGAGAAGCACTAATAAGATTGACAATGCACGTCAATTTGGAAAAGAATTGTCATATTAAAATCTCATCTTCAGTAGTTGCAACTAATGCAAGTTGTAAACGATGAGCAAAGCAATGAGCATAGTATGCATACTCACAATTATTGCGGAACAAAGCTTGCAATCCATTAAATGCACCACGCATATTGCTAGCACCATCATATCCCTAACCTCGTAAATCTCGAATGTGCAAATTGTGTCGAGTAAGAACTTTTGATATTTTCTTCTTAAGAGTTAAAGAAGTGGTATCTTTAACATGCACAATCTCAAAAAATCTCTTCTGCAAAAAATCCTGAACATCAACAAATCTCAGAACAATTGACATATGTTCTTTATTTGATGCATCCTTTGCTTCATCAACCAAAAACAAAACTTGGCATTTCTAACTTTTTTACAGATTTTTTCTCTTACTTTAGTAGCTATAATATGCAAAATATCATTTTGGATCATAGGAGACGTATACTTTGCATTTCCTGAAGCTTTCTCTAAGACAACATCATTTATCTCAACATTCAACTTTGCCATCAAACTAATCATCTCAATTAGATTACCACAGTTCTTTGACATTACAGATTCATCACGACCTCTCATGGCACATCCCTGTAAAGTAAGCAATTGAACACTATTAATGGTAACCTTAAGACGCAATCGATTTCTCTTTATTTCTTCTGAACTTTGAACATTCATAACTTTATCAATGTGCACTGATATATTCTTCAGCACCTCAACATTTCTCATAGCATTATTGTGTGTGGAAGCAGAACCTCCCATATGTGACAAGAAAACACATTTGGCCCCATTATTCATTCTCTTCCAGCTATTAAAATCATCAACGGTAAATACAGGATGTAGAGGTTCATGACCTTGAAAAATAAAGCACGAAAAGCAAAATGTCGCATCTTTTGAAATAGAATACTCTAGCCATGGAAATTTTTTGTACCAACTTTCCTAAAATCTTCGATTTTGAACTCCAGTTTTAATCCTCGGATACTCAGCCAAGATAGGTTGATTTGGTTCCCACTTTCTATAAGCACATCTAACTTTATCTTGATTATAAGTAGGATGTTTTCATATCGGAATACGCAATGCGGGATCTCGTTCAGGTTCATTCTCATCAAAAGGAATTCTTGGAACTTTTGTTTGAGGTTGCAGACCTTGAGATTCAACAGCCGCAGGAATCATAGGAACATCAACACTTGTTGATGTTTCTACTTGACTCAAAGGTTCAAGAGTAGAATTTGATATTTCTTCTCTACTTTTCTTTTTGAAGAACGAAAAAATTATTTTTGCCCTTTTTCGTTCTTGATTTTTCATCCTAATAAAGTAGAGAATGACTGAAAATTAGAGAAACAAATCAACAAGATTGAAGGGCCCAACACTACACTAAACATTATAACATATACAAACATATAGATATTCTTAGGCCTCACACATTTTATTACCAAATATAATTTTATGTTCTTCTGCCCTAAAAATCACT